TTACAACTTTTAATGATTAGTTTCGTAGAACTTTTTGTTTAAGTCACATCCGTCATTTTCGGCTGTGGCCCGAACGGTCAAATTGTGTTATGTAATATATTTTTCTCGTATCGTGTTTATTCATTTTACCCGCTTAAAGGTTGTATAGATAAGGTCTGTATCTTTCTGCATTCCTAGCAAAGGCAATCTATCAAAAATATCGTCAGTTAGGGACAACTTGTTCAGTTCGTCGGTTGTCATAAGTATCGACCCTTTTCAATCGTTCATATAGATGCCAAGGAGCGTATTAAAAATAAATATAAAATATATATTTAAAAATAAAACACACGAACAGAAGAAAACTACTAATATGCTATTGGCTTTTTCTTCAGTTTTTTTTTTTTAATGTAGTTTAAGAAATGCGATACTGACACACACTTCTGTTTTTATATTAACATGATTAAAATATTATTAATGATGTTGAAAATTGGGGTTTTCTGTTTAAAAAGTCTTCAATATAGGTAATTTCTGATTGAAGAAAGATGTTTGGAAAAAATTTATGTATCGATTTTTGTTGTCCTCAAAAATATTTGAATAGAAAATTTAAGTAACTATTTTATTTGCTCTATAATTTAAACAAAATTGAAATAACTAAAGACCTTTTTTTAGAATTTGAGTCAAACATGACGCAGTAAATAGTTATTTAAAGTTAAATTTTTGAGATAGCCAACAAAAAAAAAAAGAATCAAATAAAATTTATTTTGTAAAAATATCCACAATATTGTAATTTCTACAATTTTACAATACTAATTACCACCGGGATTGATTTACATTTAAAATAACATTAAATATATTTTTAATATACAAAAAATTTTATTTTAGCTGATCTGTGAATTCTATTTTTAATTATATTACATATTAAAATTCAGTTATGTCGTATGCTTCACGGCATGACTTGCAGTAAAACGTCGAGGAATAAAAATAAAAACACATAGTTCCAAAGAAAACACTGTGTATTATCATAGAACAACCTCAGATGTCTCCTACATCTCGATGTCATTCTTTGTTTTATACTTAAAACTAGGTTTAGGTATTTTGGAATATTTACAAATATTTATAGATTAATCACGGAAACCAGTTTTTTTTTGTAATTTGTCTTAAATGTCTAGTCTTACATTAAGGAATTTGTTATTGTTTGTTTTTAAATGACATTGTACATCATACTATAGCGAATAAACTTTTAAATTTACAATAATGAAATATTGAGCAATAATTTATTGAAATCGACTTTCCTTTATATATTATTTATTATTTTAATAGATAAAAAAACAGAAAATATCAAAGGATATATTTAAGGGGATTATGGTCTCGGTTCCTCCGAGATTATTAATAGGCAGAAATTAATTAAAATTTGTTAAAGTATGTATTTAAAAATTATACCAACGATAGATAAAGATTGGAGTATTATAAAACGTAAAGGCCTTTGGTGAATACATTCTATAGGCTAAGTTAAGTGTTTACTCATACGCATGAACATGAGAATGAAACGAGTGAGCCATTTAAATGGTATTACATGACAAAACGTTTTTGAGGGCCTTATCTGCTTCAAATTATAGAGCTTTGAAATCCATCTAATTCTCTGACCACTATTCCTTTCTCTTAACACTTGTCACAGTCAAAGAAAACGATACATTATTTTCCTTTACTATATTCTTGAAATACTAAAATGAGTATAACCTTTCACTTTTTATGCTGCTTTACTGTTGTTAGCCTTAACAACGATTTTGTTTGAATCGCATGTTTCCTCATAAATCTCGAGTATTAAGAACAAAATAGTCTTTGTTAGTAATGTTAAAATTATTTTGAGAATTTATATTTAAAAGATATTTTAAATATTGCAAATCAGTTATTTTTAGCATACTACGATATTAAATATTCAAGTGTACATTACAAGTTTTATACTAGGGTGATATAGATAAAAGAAATATACTGGTGAGACACAAAGATTTGTCACATCTTCGTGACTCATCCTATATACTACTTACACGTGAGAACACACTACCTACATAAGTGTGGCCAAATAACGCTTCAGAATTTCCATGTGGATGATGATATTTACTAACATAGGCAAGAGACAGACAAACATGACGCTGACAAATGAAGAAAATCCCAAGACAAGAATATAGCCATGTGGGTGAATTGAAATGTCGCCATCAATTTTATTTATGTTTTCGTAAACCTCATCGGTACCAAAGAAAACAACAGAGAAATGTATAATATACAACTTGAATATTTATTGTAATGCATTACCATAAGACATAGCAGACAAAGTAATGGAAATGATTCCAATTTGTCATTATATTACTCTTAACCTATATGACACTCATGCAGGTTATTTCGATCACAACTATTACCGCATTATCTTTGTTAAACATGATAATCGTAGATATAATTCATCAGGATTCTACGTAAATAGCGCCTTAAAGTCATATAAACTTAAATAATATTTCATTTGATGTTCAAAACTTTAACCATAATTTTGTTTTGTCTGAAAATCGTGCATTGCTATTTATAGGTCAGAGATTTCATAATATAATATTATCAAAACTCTTACGACTATGATTCATCAATATTTTTTGTATCATAAGCCAATATTTTCTGTTTTCTATTTTGATTAGTCTTAAGCGATCTTAATTTTGAAAACGTTTTATTTCATTTCAAGTTTTGTTCTTAACAGAAAAAAAAGTTTTGAAGTTTCTTATTATAAGTGTATAAGGAAGATTATATTTTATCATGTCACATTATTAAATTAACACATCTTATATTAGACCCTTCCATTATCAAGCAATGATAAATCAAAGTTTGTGGAGATCTATTACGACAAATTCATTGAAGACCTTCACACTTGATTTTTTTTTTTTTATATCGGTTTTATGCTACGACGAACCGAACTTCACTAAAAGAAAATCAAGCTCATTTTTTGTAAGATTTTCATTCCAGCACAACTTTATTTTCTGAATGCTTTCAATGATATATCATCTAATCATTTATTTAAACATTTATATTACTATTTGTGGTTTAAAGATCATTTATTCACAATAGATAATTACGATACTTCATTTATGAATGAAAAATAAATTATGATTTATATATTTTGTGTATCCTTAGGTTTAAAAAGTATTAAAGTATTTTAAAAGAATAAAGATCACGTGATTAAGTTTTTACTACTTTTAAAAAGCTATTAGATACTAAAAAGGACTATATTTAACAGCCTTTCAGATGATTATTAATATTCAATATGGTACACTAATTTACAATATACATTAGTAGTAATCTTCAATTTAACACATAACAAATAGAACCAAACAGTAATTGCAAACTAAATGGAAAAATTGTGTTCAAATATTTTTAAATAAGGAAAAAATATTATTAAACAGTAAAGATTAAGCAAGATATAATAATTTTTGATAAAAACTGCATTAATATAGAAGTACGTGAATAAAAATACATTATATATAAAAATACAATAATGTACGTTCAACTCTCAAATGTATTATTTTTTAAGTTCCAACAATTATTTAACTTTTGCCAATGATAGAAAAAGGTAATCGCTCAAAATTTCAGTTAAAATAAACATGTAAATACACAATAAAATTAATACTATTTTTTTTAATCTAGCGAATAAAATTGTATAAATATATTATTAACGAATACATAGAATTTAAGTTGGATAGGATATAAAATTTTGAAAATAAAGTCTTTGTATTTTTTTATGAAAAAAATGTTTTTATAAAATAGCTATATTATGAAAAATATAGTGTTAAAAATTTATAAATGAATTTTGACGGAATAAAAGTTCATAATTTATTTTAAAAACTTTACTAGCTAAGAAAAATTATTATTTAGAATAAACTTCATTATAAGTATAGGCTTCATTATAAGAAATACATCAAACTTCTCCTCAACCTCTTGTCTCCGTACCCTTTATGTATCCCTCGTTCGCTCCATNAAAAACTTTACTAGCTAAGAAAAATTATTATTTAGAATAAACTTAAAAGCTATGTTAACTTATTAACATGTTTATTGATGTTTAGTTCAAAATATAAACATATACTGTAAAAAAATGNAATAAATAAACTTAAAAGCTATGTTAACTTATTAACATGTTTATTGATGTTTAGTTCAAAATATAAACATATACTGTAAAAAAATGAAGATAAATTGGATATAAAAAGTTAGTTTTATGTTCGTTAACGTGAAAGTTAAAATAAGAATTGTGGTGAATTTAAACGACTTCTTAGATAAATTACTCCCCAAGTGTGCCAATATGAAGTTATGCAAAAGCGTTAGTCATATCTAATTGGTTTTCTTTAACCAAAACCAAAAACACAAAGCCAAAATCTCGTTAAAAACTTTGAAGAAGTTTTAGTTTCTTTTGTGTTTTAACTATATTATTAGTGTCGTAAAAGTTATTTTTAAGATTCAACTTTAGTTCACTAACATATCACTTAAAGATTTTAGAAATTTAAAAATTATAGTATTTCTATACATAGATTATTAATATTTTGGCTATTAATATGGTGCTAAAACTTCAACAACAAATTATAATTTGATTAAATAAAACCAGGAACAATATATATATAAGCGAGTTAAAATATGTGGAATTCCAATTATTTCACTTAAAATTGAATTTAAGATTTTAACTAGAGGTTTTAGAATTTAAATTACTTAGTTTTAATACTCTAGTTTGTTCGACAATTAGTATAAAACAACACGACTTTATGTAATTTCCAATTACAGAGTTTTCAATTTGTAGGTCGAAATCCTTCTACTTAATGTTATTTAGCGGGTGTGTTTCTTGTGTATAAATGAGCTAAATATTGTTGCAATTTCACCCGTAGATGAGATAACGAGACTAATTGATGCAAACAGTAATTAAATTCTACTAATTAGAGGACTATTCTAACAAATGAAATTATTAAGTGTTAACTAATATTACAGGATAAAGATAGACAACTTACTTGAATGATTCGAAATTACATTGGAACAACTCGCACCAACTTTTAATAAAATAAAATATAGAAAACAATTATAACGTACACGTTTACCCTTAGCACTAGAAATGGACAATTATGTTAAATGTAAAAAAAAAAAATGTAATCACCCCAAAAACATATTAATTAAAAAAATAAACAGACAATTAACAATCGTCCGATAACAAAAAAATAGTCGATTAAAAATACGATTTTTTTAATAAGAGCTTGAATAATGTTGGCGGCGAAAATGCTGACAAAAAACGTACACTTAGTGTCAGAAAACGGATAACGAGCGACCGAGACGTTTCTCCAGATACACAGTTGTGTTGCCGGTACATAAGCGCCGTTGTGCGTCTGTCGGCGGCAAGTCACAGCTGATCTAGGCCGCGCCACTATCCTCAACAAGAACTCGTGATGAATAAAATTCATTACTTTTTTTTTTTTTTTTTAATTATTAAACTGTTTGTAGTAATTTATCTAACATAGTTTAATTTTTACTACTACAAATTAACGATTTGTTTAAATTAAAACTATACAGTTACTGTACTACAATAAACTGTTAAAATCTAATCTAAAAAAAAATTGACAAATAATTTTAAATAGAAGGCAGTGACAGTCAAATTATTTTGCTGTTAGGAGAGGTTGAATAGCTTTGAATTTGTATTAATATATGAAGATATTATTATGACAATTAGGCGCGCATAAATGACTTTCTTATTAAGTCCGTTTCAAATATTTAATTTAATTTAAACCGTCGAATATACCTACGTATAATAAAGTCTTGAAGATAATAATAATAAACAAGTTTGATCTCCCAGATTTGTAGTGTTAATAATTTTTTCATATTAGTTGCACTCAATAATTTTTAAATTGAATTATCAAATATGAAATACTGTATATATTTATTTTGTTCAGAAAGTATAGAAACAGGTCACTTGTTACAAACAATGAGAACAATAGAAACCCGTTTCCTTACTTAATGAACATCTATATAATGAAAATTGTGCAAAAACAGCGTCAACGGTGGGATTTATAATTATAAAATTGCCTTTAAAAACTTTTTCTTAGCTATAATTTAATTAAAAGTTTGATTTTCTGGAATTATAGATTTTATTATCGGATCAGGTATTATCAATAGTCATTGATTATATCGTATTAAAAAAATATTAAACGACTTACGATGTATATGATCATGATTAATGATGTACGATTAATGATTTTTTTGCTCATTACTTTTCCTTTTATTGTAGCAATATTTACCATCTCAAGGTACTGCCTCGGAGCCCTCAAAAGACCCATGTATATCCGGTCCTGTACTTTACATTTAACAGAATTTTTTTTTTTAATTATAATTTTGTAAATTTATGTGACTTAACAATCATAACGCAATTAAAATAAAATTATGTTAATTATTCTTTGCCTGTTTTTGATTACAAAGATTTTCCAATGACATGCCTTTAATGAGTTATTGGTCTCTAAAATTATAATTTTTAGATTACATATAATCACATTAATTACAGGGATAGATAAATCAATTTATTTTAATAAAGCATAGATCAAAATAAATTTTTAGTAACTTTTAAAATAATTTTTTTGAAAAATCTAACATTAGCAAAAGTACAAAGAGGTAGCAGATTAATTATATAATTTTTTTTTTCAATTTTCGATAATATTCCAAAAAAATTGTATTCTTCAAAATTATGTCAAATCAAAGCTAATACAATGTATTTTAAAATGAAAAATAAAAACTCATGAAATCTCTATTTCCAGAAGATATTGGGCATTAATCGATTTATGTTCTACATTTTATAATTAATCGACAATTATATAAAAAATGTAGAACTAAAATATCATAAAATATCTAATATGAAAATCATGTTGAATATCGCAAAATTTAGGCATAAAAATTATAAAGACATGAACATTTTTTTTTTTTATAAGAAAAAAATTATTATTTTATCACTAGTCACCATATTTTAAGTACTCATAATAATGACAATCTTACTATAGACCAAGTATCTTACTAATTTAGTTTTGTTGAAACTCGAGTTATCATTATTCGCTCAGTTATCTCTAAGCTTTTAACTTTTATATTAGATGTGTATTCATTTTATCTAATATAACATTGATATACAAACAAAATATTACAGTAATATATAATACTTTTTAATATTTGCAATCAAGTTTTCATTAATTTTGAACCTTAAACGTTGTATCAAATTTTACATTGTTTTTATTTACTACAACGTTCATAAATATTTAACGACTTGAATACACATCACTATGTGTATAATTTTATACATGTATATTAAGTAGATTTTCCCACTTATCTTTAGCCGGTTTTTTGATTATAACTACAAACTTTAAAACAAGAAGCTGAATAATTTTTTTGTTTAAAATACTGCAGTTGCATATGGATTTTCTTCGTTGTCGTAGTTATTGAAAATATAAATAATAAGATCTTTTTATGGTATTTTAATTATTATTAGCTACATAACAATGTTTGGGAAAAACGTGTATTTTAATTTTGAATAACAAGCTGTTTTTCATCTAAGTAAAAAAAAATTCCACCTTAATAACATAAGTATGAAAAATATTATTAAAAGATGTAGCAGAATTAGATTCCCGTTGAAAATTTTGTTCTTCATAGTCGTTACTTAAAAAAATTACATTAAAATATTATTGGGCGCATGAAAATATTTGTAATGCCTTTCAGATGGTAGCAAACTAAAAAGAAAAAGAGGAAGGAAATCAAACCTTTCAATGATTCGCTTTTCTTGAACATTTTAAATTAAATTTTTTTAATTTGGAACTTCTCGTTACTGCTTAACTTTGTGTTTCGAATTCGTCCTTAGTAATGCTTTTTTTTACGTTATTTATTGTTACATTCACCTTCAATGAAGTTTTAATGACTTAATTCAAAATGTATTGAGGTATTAGGAAAATCATGTTATAAATATTGTTCGCCTAAAGTGTTGTTTCTTCGAAGAATATTTTGCAATAGTATTTGTAAAGTAATAATAATGCTTGTGCGTCATAAACTTTAAACGGGTGTTAACATATCAGAGAACAGATAGGAGTTAGACAAGGATGAGCACTTTTAACAAGCATATCCTGCCATCTTCATTTTGCCATTTATCAAAATTTATATTTGATTATTAAAAACTTACAAGATTTATAGAGAATCAAATCTGGGCTGACAGAATACCTTATCTTATAATCTTATTTTTAGCATCTTGTCATACTAAATGAAATGAAGTGAGAAAATAAAACATAAATTAAAGTAATATATTTTTTTAATTTTTATAAAACATGAAGGCAACTACATTTATTTTTTGTTTATAATAGATAATACATTTAACCATTATAAGATCAATAATGAAGTAAGTATATTCAAATTGAGAGAATATTATTGGTGGGTCTCATGAAGTAAGTATATCTCAAATACTTCATATTAAAAAAATACATATATTCTAATAATTTATGTATAGACCAATAAATGTTCACAAGTGTTTAAATTAATCAGATCAAATAAAATAATTTCTATGTAACACTAATCAATGATTCAAAGTATAATTAATGAGACATAATCAGATTAAAATCACTATTTTAATAACGCTGGGATAGTCAATGTTTATCATGATGGTTTTGATAATAACTATTATCTCAAACCGTTACTCGTTTTATTTTTAATATTTCTTCAAATTCTATTGTTATAAAAGACTTTTTGTTGTCTGTAATTATGTTAACAAGGATAATAAGGACTGTTTATACGACGACCCCTTCAACATTATACAACATTAACATTTTCGATCCTATTTTTTTATTATCAATGCAAAATTGTTTTAAATAAATATTAATGTCTATTATTAAAAATAGACTTCACTTATTATAGCTATAATATGATAGTATAAAATAATGTCTTAATATAAAAATAATTAAATATCGCTAATTTAGAGACGTGTTTCAACAACTAGTAAGTATTATTGAAAAAAACCTGTATCTCTTGTGGTCTATATTAAAAAGAATTAAAAATTTCTTTGAACCTATCTAATTTCACTTAATTGTAAGTTATTTTTCTTTATTACCGTTCAAAACTCAGGTTGTTATGATTTTGAGAAATTAAGTAAGACTTAAGTATTTTTACAGTAATAAAATCTCTAAAATAATGAATTATTTCAGAACTAAAATTTATACAGACTGCCACAATTAATGAACATTATTAATAAAAAAATATATTTAACAATTTTACTATTATTATGAATTTAATTTTATACTATTGTTGTATCTTAACAATAGTTATTACAACATTTAAAATATGCTAATAATTTTACAAAATTGAATCACAATGAACTTTTAATGGAATAATATTTAGCCGACTTAAATTTTTAAACTGGTTTTACATTACAAATTATTAAAGTTGCGTACAGGTTTTTTATAAAGCAACTTATATTCAACATATTAGTGTCAAATATAAAATACAGTTTAATGTTGCCCTCGTAAATCATATCTAATGTAATTTTAAAGTGTAACTAAGGTTAGCAATACAATTCTGCAATTTCGATTCAAAGATTATTTACCCCATTTTTTTGTGACATTTGCATACGACCATATATGGCAATAAACATTTAAAGGATCATTTCCGTTTATCACGTTTTCATAATATTTCACCACCAAATACCAACCACATATACACACAGATAAACGTGTACACGCGCATAGCAGAAAGCTCAATTTAACGACCTTGTGCGATTTTATTTATTGTGCATTAGATATTAAATATCACTATAACCGTTTATTTCAGCTAAAGTCCGATTCATGTGGCTCAATTGCTATATAATATTGACGGATAATTTACTAGGGTCCGACAATATGAGTCTCACGTCAATAGTACTACGTCAATTTGAACATTTTAGGTCAAATTTTATCACTTTTTGATCTAGATGTGTATTTTTGAAGTTTCTGGTATTGTTAACGATTAAAAAGTTATAGTAATTATGACACTTAGTTAGATGATCAAGTTTTATTAAACTGTTCTTTGCGATTTTATATATCTAGATGCATTCTAGATTTAAAAAAACTAGAAATTAGAAACATTATATTAGCATTTTTATATTATATTGTTATATTCAATTTAGGTTACCATCAACGATTTCCTGTTTTATAAAAACTAGATGTATGTTGATTAGTAACGGTAATTTATATTTTTCTTGTCTCCATTGCGAGCAGAAAAAATTTAATTTAAAATATTAAGATCTTATCTCCATCTTGAATAAAATAACAGTATTTGGAAAATAAGAAACTCTTAGTATTTTAACGAAATATAGTAGGGTATTTTGTGAAAGGATTACTGTACATTTCATATAAACTATAAAATCTTTTAATATTTTACCACAAATAAGACAATAGTGTATACAAAAAATACATTCTATTAATATGGTGTTACTTTTTCTAAATAGAATTAAAAAACTAAACAAATTCGACACATTTTTTTTTTGTATATGATCTTAAAATAATTTACTTGAATATCTACTTAAGTATAATGAAATTATTTAGAAGTATAATATGATACTACAAAAAGAAATAATCACTTATTATACATTATTAAATATATTATAATTAAAATGCACAAAAAGTATATTAGTTTCCACAAGAAAATATTTTCATCTGCAAAAGATTTTAATTTATACATTAGTAAATAATTAAATTTTAGATACATATTATGTTTAATAGTCAAGTCAACACATAAATTGATTAGTGGTTAACAACTCAAATGTAAGAAAAATAAAATGTTACCTATCACAGGACTTATTAAAACTTTTTTGGATTTTTAGTTTCCATAATAAGCATTTTTTATGTTATTTTTTACTATAAAGTGTATAATAACAATACTAAACTTTAATAAATATTTACTTCTTAAACAATCTAATTAGCCATTTTTTTAGTTTTTATAATTAATACTTAAATAGGTCTCTAAATAATTTTTTTTTTTTTTTGTAACTGAATTTAAAACATCGGGGTACACCTCATATGCCCTGAAGTAATGCCTCACGGCAGTTCCAGGGCGGCCCACAATAATGCCGGTCGTTAAAAAAAAAAAAAGGGGGACACCTCATACACTCCTAGCGTAAGCCCTGTACCTACTAAAAGTATTAATATGCATAGAACAATTAAATTACTTGTTCGAAATTTACTATTAAACACTCAATATTTTGTTTTAATAAAGAAATAATAACATTAAAAACTGTTAACTTTTAAAGCTACTGATATATGTGAAAAACATATTATTAGCTATCATAATAAGTATTCGTGGTATTTTACTAAGAATAAGTGAGTGACTTTTAGATTTCACATTTATAATAATTTTTTAAATTTAATTAATATTTTAAAACATTGATTCAATTATTATATATTTTTTATAAATCCCTAAATAAGGTACAATTTGATTATATAGAGTCATACAATTATAATTTAAATAGTTGATGTAATTTAGTCTCGACATTTCGAGATCAACTAACAACAACAATCATAAAATGGTTTATCTTAATATGACGCGTTTCTTTTACTAAAAAAAATGAGCAATTTATAAGTGTTGTGTTTTCATATTTTTATATTAATTCTAAAATATAGAATCTTACGAAAACATAATGATGATTATAGAAAATGAATAAAAATGATATCCCCATTTTTCAGAATTACTCATTTAAACAAGGACTAATTAAAAACAAACAAAAAGTTAAACATTTAAAATAAATTTCACTTTTGTTTTGATTTTGTAATAATGTTAGATAAATTATTACATTTGAAATGTTTAACAATGTGTCATAAAATTACAAACTTTAAATTATGAATTTAAGTATAAAATACGTTAGGACGTGTAATAATTTGTCTATTTATTATTCGTTAAGTGCAGAAAACACTTAATTATCAAATATACTTAGTAAATAAGTAACAATAATATAATTATTATAAAAATCAATTTTTCGTGTAGATAAAAAAATAAGGCTTATATACTTATTTCCAAATTTAATTATTTGTAATCATAATTAAATTAAAGCTGTAATTAAAAACTTTTTGACATTGAAATATTACATTTCAAAAAAAAAAAACTAGTATATTTAATTAATCAAAGAACTTACAATTTTTTCATCTACTTTCAAAGCACATACAGCAAAATTATAAGATACTTCACAGGTATCAGGTTTTCCAGCTGTAAAGATTTAAAAAATAAATATTGACATTTATTTATAAAAAATGTTTTTTTTTAAATCAAAATGTTTATAGTGTACATAAAGTAAATTCAGATTAATTAAATCACGCCATGAAATCATAAGGTTTTGTAATATATAAAATGTACACATGAGACAAAATGTTCTAGTTTTCATTATATAAAATATTTAAAAATTACCTATGATACTATAAAAAATATTAGTTAATACTTGAAAATAAAAATTTACCAATATTTGGTAAGCAGTGGTCTGCAGCTTTTTTTATTACAGCTTTCATATCTTCATCTGGAATAAGTGATACCATAGTATCAACATCTATATCAGCTGTTTCTGAATCGATCTACCAGAAAATATTTAAAAAAATTAAATTATTATAATTTCACTATGATAATAATTTCACTTTTTTTCCATACCAGTGACATTTCATCGAAGTTGCACATTAAGAAACACTGAAATTAATAGCAAATATCAATAAAAAAATAATCAAATTAAGTTACGAACTTTACAATTATTTCAAAAAGTAGATTTTTAATAATTATGCTGCCTAATGAATCGTTCACATTTTAAAGATTTATTAATAAAAAAAAAACAGCACAGGGAGACGCGCCACAGTGGGGACGTATCAAAGTTGGGTCCAGTATAGATGACATCTAACAGTGATTAAAATCACTTACATAAAAAACACTTCGATGCAAATCTGTAGATAATGTATAATTTTAAAAAATTGATGAATTAATCCAAAATCTCCTGTTTTATAAATATAAATATTTCCTTATTTATATCCTGATTACAAGTTTTATGATTTATAAGTGTAATATATGAAAAACTATTTAATATAACAGTTAAATATAGTATGAAATTGATATTTAATAATTTAATATTGTAATTTTTCACAAAAATCGTCAAGTATAATGATATCTGACAGTGATTTAAATCACTATCATAAAAATCACTTCGATACAAATCTGTAAATTGTGTTTAATTTTAAAAAATTGTTGGATTATTCCAAAAGCTACATGATCTCCTATTTCCTTATTTATATCCTGTTTACATGTTATATGNTATACATAAAAGTATCAGTATTTCCAGGACACTTTCAAAAATTAAGTAGAAAAAGTTGTCATTTTTAATCCTTTTATGTTGACAGGTAAAGGGTCAGATTTATAAAAAATATATCAAATAATAGGTAAAAACATCATGCATCTATAAAGAAAAAAAAACCCAGCACAGGGGGGTCGCGGCACAGTGGTGACGTGGCATAGTTGGATCAAGTATAATGATATCTGACAGTGATTAAAATCACTATCAAAAAAAAACGCTTCGATGCAAATCTTTAGATAGTGTTTAATTTTAAAAAATTGGTGGATTATTCCAAAAGCTTCATAAACTGCTAGTTCCTTATTAATATCCTGATTAAGACAAAGTATGTCGAATAAAAAAGAGATTATTAGAAAATAGTATTTCCCATAAAAAAATTATATTGATCAATACACTTTTCAATAAGTTATAGCATTATAATGTTAAAAATGTAAAAAATAAAATTGAGAATTTTCACACAATAATAGCATTTGGTAGCCATTTTCACCTTGAAGATAAAATAAAGTCCGAAATTTTTTTTTTCCATGATAAAGTATATTACATTAGCTTTAATTTAAGATATATATAAAAGTGTCAGACCTTCCGGAACATTTTCAAAATTTAAGTTAAAAAAATTAATTTTTTGTGAAAAAGTTGTCATTTTAAATCCCCCCTTGTGGGTAGGTTAAGGGTTAAATTTATGAAAAAAATATACCAAATGAAAGGTAATGATATTATGCATCTATATAAAAAAGAATTATATTGATATGTTTATTTTTGAAAAAGTTATGGCACTTTTAAGTAAAAAAAATTGAAAAAATTTCGAAAATTAGCGATTTTTAAATTTGTAATTTTTTTGGAGGTTTCCCCCTTTTACGGGGAACGAGGGAATTTTTTTCAATTTTTAAGGGTAATGTCTTCGACTAGATACGATTTGTGATCTTTTGACGTATCATTGAAAGAAATCGGTTCGGTGAGAGCTGAGAAAAAGTGGTAACAGACA